AGGAATCTCTGAGATCTGAGGGCCAGATGCTGGGAGACTTTGTGGCCTGCTTGTGAACTTCCTTGACATTAATGTGCTGGACTGCTATAAGAAGCAAAACCTCCCAAAGGAGATGGGCCTTCAAGCTGATCCAAAAGGGCAATCAATATGTATGAATGAGATTTGAGAGGTGAAATTTGCTGGACTGTCTTCCGGTCACCACACACCAGGCAGATCCACTGCAGTGATGTGACTGAAGAGGAGCAAACTACAAGGAAGATATTAAACAGTGATGCCTCGTGGTCTTGCTGAAGGGAAATGTATCTCTTGTGCCAAAAAAGCAAACAAATGAACATCAAAAGCAAATTGTCTCTTCTCTGCTAAATGCCAGAATTTGATCAGACAATTTGCTTCTCCGCTACAGTCATTCATATCATAACAATTACAGTCTTGATTCACAACCACAAAACCACCAATTGCATTTATTTATTACATTTCTACTCCGCCCTTTCCTTCAATTTACTCAAGCAAAACGACATAATTTCTCCTCTTTTTTAAGTGCTGAGTACCATGCCTAGGAATGTGTTTTAAGTGTGTCTGAAACAGAAATAGCAGAAAAGTGATTGGGATTTATTTAAAAACTCAATGCTTGGCAGGAATTTTGGCTTCCAATAGGACAACTAATTGGCTTTTGAAAATTCAGATTGCTGAAAGAGAATTCTCAGGAGAAAAGCAGAAGATTTTTATGTTCACACCAACAATAAATTTCTGTATTCAACCTATGCTCAATGGCACATATTCCTTAATGCTTAGAATATGTTCTGCTTAGCTAGAATTTTGCATTTGGCATCTGTTAGTTTGTTTTGGGGGAGCAATCATACAAAATCCCCAGTTTTGGTGTTGCTACTTCTCATCTAGAGTTTAGAGGTGTTTAATTCCAAGGTGATGCATATTGTACTATTTGCTTGGGTAGTGAACAAAATCTGAGGACCAGAAAGATTTCCAGCAGGGAAAAGGAAATCCCTGTGTCCTTCATATGTGCATATGTGTTGCTTCTAAAAAATTATAAGCACTCTTCTCAGTCAGATGCAGAGGCTGAACAGTTTTAGATATTAAAAAGAAAGCTTTAATAGGTTCAGTGGGATATATTACTAACAAAGCTATCAGATGTCTAGGAACAAGCACAACTGAACCCAGTTGGAATATCCTTTCAGAATATAGTTGCCTAGATTGGCCGTGAGGTCCAACTAATCAAGTTTTTTACTTTTATCAGTGGGCAGTCGATATTCTTCTGAACGATCCCAACTTGATCTCTATTGTTTATCTTCATCCGAGGACCAGAGAAACATTCTTGATGCACATGAAAATTTTATTTAACTGAAGTGACAGAAGATGGAAGCAACTTTCATAAATTTGCTATGAAAATTAATGAAAAATGAGATATGTATGCTTCCAAAGCTTGTGATAGAGAATTCCAGAAGTTTAATTATGCACCACATGAGAAAGGGAAAGTGTCTCCTATCATATAATGTTGGAGAAAAAATTTTCAATGGGAGAATGTTGGCATTCTGGAGAAAAGAAGTGGATTGCAGTAGTGCAGTAATTGTGAGCTGTAAGAGTCCACTGAGATTTTTTTTTTTTTAACTGCATCTAGTTTCACCCCACAAAGAATTTCCTGGGTAACAATCCCTTGCTGTCCCTTAAGACATGAGGCCCATCCTTAGGTCTAACTCTTTATTGTAATTTATTTGGGAGAGGACTTCCTACAGGTTATTTTTAGATATCCTTAAAAATGTATTTGCTGGGCTGATGGAGACTCTCCCCCTGCCCCTTCCTGTATTTCTTTCTTTCTGATGCTTCCTTATCCAGAAATGCTCTGGCTCCCCCTCCTGCTCCTCATAATGCAAGCTGGGCAGTTGCAAATCACTTTCCCTGACAAGAAAATGATCTTAAAAACCATTCAAAGGGGAAACCAGTGGCCGAGGAGTGAAGGATCTGTTCTGGCTAGTGGGGAGGAGACAAGAGGATAGTTTTGTCTGGCAAGCTAGAATATGGAATCCATTTTGAAAAAAAGGAGAAGCAAAACTTTATTTCCAATCCTATCTTTTCAGAGGGCATTTAATTTCGCCTGTTTGGGTGGCAGGACTCCTTCCAGACAAAACAATAGTATCAGTCCACACCAAGCAGATTAATTACTGCTGCAGGTAATTAAGCAGCTACCTACTTGACCTTCTTTTCTTTGTAGTCATTTGCCTTGCCATTTGAAACTTGACATCTCAAAATTCACTCTTTTCTTAGATACTCTTGCTAACATTGCTCCTCTCAGAAAGAATGATGCTGCCTATTTGGCACCTCTGGGAAAGCCCCTCTCCACTGAAATAGAGCTGTGAAGGAGAAGCTGGGGCAAGCCTGGCAGTGCACAGTTGGACATATACTACTGGCCTGTTCAGAAAGTTGGTGGGTGGCTCCTGTCACCCAGGCACCTCAAAAAGCCGTTTTTTAATTTAAAAAAATAGGCAATAGTTATACTTCTCTGGATGTAATTATAAATAAAATCCACCTGTTGCTTGTAGGGTCTGCTTTGAAATAATTGTTTTGAAATCATTGTGGAAAAAGCCGCATATGTTGAATTTGCTCTTAAAACTGAAACTTCAGCTGGACATTTTTCTGCCATCTGGACCAGAAGGAAATATCCCTGGCTTCGTGGCTATCTACTTTTGTAGTAAATAGAGCTGGGATTTAATAACTTTGCTCAAACTCCTTGAAATCTATGCCTTTTTTGAAGGCGAGGCTAGCTAATTCAGCAAGGGCTGTCTTTCAGATTCCTAGTACGTTGATAAATCATTTTCTTTATTATGTTTATGTCCAAACTTGGGAAGATGGATTTTTGCTTTTTCTCTCTCCCAGAACAAGTTTTTTTTAGCATATTCCCTCTGCCACTGTCAGTTTAATTCTTTGGAAAAAAGGCAGAAGTCACAACGGCAATCCTTTCCCTCTGCCAACAAATTTATTGAACAGAGATGTTCAAAGTCACCAGAAGCTGAGCTAAAGTGAGCTGGAAGGAGATTTTTGTTTAATCAATGGCAGAAGATAAATCCCTGCCACTCTTCTTTCCAGAAAAAGTGAATATGTATTGTACAATAATTATTCTGGGACCTGAAATTTCACCCAATATTTGTAGGACCACATTCAGAGAGTTATCCAGTTTATAACGTGTGCCAGTATGAAAATAACAAGTTGATTTTTATGATGTCGCAAGGATGGATGAAGCAGGGTTTTTTTTTTTAGTAACTGTTGCAAAGTGGAAAATGAAATAAAATTGATGGCTTCCTTTCCGTTTAATCGCATGGAAGACTGATCTACATATCTTTCCTCCAGAACATTCTTCGAGGAATTAAATGGGAATTTCCATGAAGATTTGTGCCCCTGCAGTTGCAAGCCTTAAGCAATTGTAAGGTTAAGGATTGATTTGATAAAACATGACAGTATCCAAAACAAAATTATGATGAATTTTATAGCAATCCCACCACTATCAAACTGGGAATGATTTTAAGAGCAGGATATGTTTTTTTTTTTCAGTTCTGAACATTTGTTGTGGATTTTTGAAAGGGTTGGTTTCACTCTGCCTTGGGGATTCCCTGAAGAAACCCACTCCAGTAACCAATGTGTTTTCTTCTCTGCTTTTCAAGCAATTCTCTTTATGTAAAATCTGTTAGGATTAGAGGGGCTGATAAAGATTGCAAAACAAAGCACAGTCATTTAACTGCTAATTGTGAAGGGCAGTTAAATCTCTTTGACGTTCTTAAAGAAAGTCATAGAACGTTTGATATAGGTATAGTTCAATATAGCAAACATAGAATGTCTGGACTTTTCAAAGATGCCTGATGACTGGGCAAGGCTTGTTTTATGCTTGTTATTCTATATGCTGAATATAAAATATTTTATTTGAATAATTTATTTATTTCCACCTGGCCTTTAAGGCATTTATTTGCACAAATCTTGTTGAAATTAACAAGCAGAAGTAGCATGTTCATATTTAGAAATATGACTTGGATATCTAGTTATGAGACCACTGCCATACTCCCATAAAGTTTTATGTATAATTATGTGGACTGTATATATGTTTATTTGTTTTCTATCATGTTGTCATTATATGACAAATAAATAATAAAATTTAGAAATGATAAATGTGGGAAAGGGCAAAAGTTGTGAATATTTCTGTCTTCATCGTCCACACATATAGTCCTGGACTGTAAGATTTCAAACTGATTTTTAAAGTAAATTTGTAATAAAAATGATTCTATTATTAACTTAGATTTGACGCTGTCTCCAGTTTAGAGAAACACAGTGTTTTCCTAGTATTTCTATCTCTGCAACCAATTCTGTCTCTGTATGAGGCAATATTCCTGTTTGATGAGAATCTGGACTCAAAATATTTTAAAGGAGAAATAGGTTCTGCAGTGAGAAAGATCTAAAACTAAAAGACAATAATTTAGACTAACTGTACAAAATTGTGCAAACTTTGTGTTGCAGAGAATACTAATGGGAGGAAAGCAGTCTTATACTCCTGGAGTATTGAACTGGCATTAAGAAAAGCATGTTTCCTTTGAAGTTGTGGTGCTGTCCTTCAAGTTCCTTTTATTTAAATGGGCAAAAGGATCAGCACATTACTTTTCTGATCCAGGGGCTCAAACCGAGAGTTGATCACCATCTAACATATAAATGTTATAGCTCTGAGCTTCATTACATGATTTCAAGCACCTTGGCCCTCATGGGATTTATTTCTAAGGGAATCTAGTTTTTCTTGCTGATTTTTATCACAATTCCCTTGCGCTTGTTTCTGTGATCAGATTCCAGAAATCTTTCACTTTTGAAAAAGAAGCCCGGATCCAGGGGACTTATTTGTGCTATCTTTGTATGCTCAGGTCTTGTTGCCATCCATTTACGTATTTCGAAATAGAACAATCGGGATGTGTAGTTTGCACCGGCCTACGGAAATTGCCTTTCGAAACTGCCTCGCCACAGATCCAGCGAGCTCACTGTGGTGCACTTTATCCACCGAAATAGCAACTTGATCCTTCAGCGATCCACGGAAGTTTCGAGCACTAGTCGGTCCCAGCCTACCTGCCTATATCAGAGAAGGAAAGGAGCTTCGTACGAAAGATTTATCTTTCTCACACCTCAGACCCTCCATATTCAGGAATGGAGGGGAATGACACCGCCTCATTTTTTTAAAAAACTCTTCTACTCCGTTATAAAGGACTTGGTAATTCATTTAGAAAGGCAATGCCCACTCTTTGCATCGCCCGCGAGGTCTGCTTCCGAAGAAGGCCCCGAAGAGAAGCCTAAGCTGCCTCTGGCGCTGCCTCCTTCTGGTTCTTAAGCTCAAATGGGACGGATCGTGGAGAGTAAAGGCAGCTTGCACGCTCCGAATCGGGCATATCTACACCACTTCCTTGGACAGAGAGGACCGGCGAGGACACTTAGCAAGAACCCTGCAGTTTCGAGGACGACACATTTCAGGGAACGGAGAGCCCCCAAGAGCCGATTTTTGCTGGGTCTGGAACCGTCACAAACTTTGAAGGCAAGGCGGAGGCGTGACTTACTGCTCCCCTTTCTTCCTTCCTTCCTTTCTTGGCCATCCCACTGCCGCTCTGGATTGGCCGCTTCCTGTCCAATCAAGCCCCAGAAGAATTTTTCTTTTTTCTTTTCCTCCGCGGTAGAAAAAAAAAGAGAGAGAGAATCTGGGAAGCTGATTTTGCTGAAGGGTCGTGGGCGGGTGGATACTTTTCATTCCCCCCCCTTCCTTTTTTCAGAGAGGGGGAGTTTCTGGTGTGTGTGTGTGTGTATTTGTGTGTTTGGATGTTAGTGCGCGCGAGGTATTTTTGGGGGGTTGTTATTATTTTGTTTGTCGCGCCTGATTTTCGCAGCGCGTTGCTTGAGCTCTGCGTGGCCTCGTTTCGCCTCCCACGATGCGGCCAGGCCAAGAGACATTTTGGCGTTGAGCTCTCCAGGCTGACCAGGGTAAAGGAGGCAATTAACTGCTCACTGTTTTGCTGGCGGGCTGCGGGTCAGTCGGAGCACGCAGTTACTGAGTCTGTGGGTCCATCTGGCCAGTGAAGGAGCCGAGACAGGAGCGAGTGGCCGCCGGATCGGCAGGATGTACACTGCCGGACTCGCACCCTTTTATGCTTCCAACTTCAGTCTGTGGTCAGCGGCATATTGTACCCCGGCGGGCCCCGGCGCTGGCGGCTGTTTCTCCTTGGATCCTTCGGGGCTCAAGAAACCGTCTTTCTGCATCGCGGACATCTTACACGCTGCCTCAGGAGAAATCTCTGTTGAGGGCCTGTCCGGAGGAACCTCGGCTAATCTGGCCTCCCATTTAGGTGGAATCCATGCCCATGCACAGTACCACGGCGCCGCTTCCCCGCTCAGACCGACACCCATGGTGGCCCCGGACACTTCAGTCGCCTTCGCCACGCGGCTGTCACCTCTCTCGGCTCCCTACCACACTTCTCATCCTCAGCACCAGCGCTCTCCCACAGGGGGCTCCAGCGGAGGTGCACGAACCCCGGGCGGAGGGCAAAGCCGCCAGACCCACCCTGGCTCTGCAGCCGCCCCCTCTAGCAAAGACTTGAAATTTGGGATTGATCGCATTTTGTCTGCGGAGTTTGACCCGAAACTGAAGGAGAGCAACACTCTGAGAGGTTAGCTTTTTGCTTTCTCCTCCCTTCTGGAGAACTGAAATTGTTTTGTTAAACTGTATGTGGATCGTTTGTGTGTGTGTGTGTGTGTGTGTGTGTGTGTGTGTGTGTGTATGTGTGTGTGTGAATGTGTGTGTGTGTGTATGTGTGTGTATGTGTGTGATGAATTTGAGCATAATAGGCTCTTCTGGTTCTTGCAGGGTCCTTTCACGGCCCTTTAGAATGGTCCCTACTGTCTTTTTATTTGAAGGCGGATTATATGTAATCTTCCCAGTTCAACTGGAAGATTAACCCTGTGTGGTCCTGCTATGAAGTTGGGGATCCTCACTTAAAACCTACAGGAAGGGTGGGTTGAAATGGGGAAAAGAGTTTATAGAAGGACCCGTTTTGCTAATTTTCTTTCAGTTATTAATGCCCAAACATTTAGATTGGGTTGGAAAGATTGAAAAAGCAAATCTCTGACTCTAATCAAGTGTAACTTGTAAAATCAGCCTTTTCCAGAATTGGGGGAAGGAACCCAACACAGCTCTGCTGCAGCTGTGGCTGTGGTGTTTCTGTTGTTGCTCAATGGAACAAACAGTTGAGCAATTGGATTGTTTAAAGATTCAGAAATCTTTGGAAGAAATTCAGGCCAGAGTCTCCTTCCAGAAAGTATTTACTTGGAAGTAAGTCTCATTGATTTGGACACTGCAGTTGTAAACTAGTTGAGTGGCTTTTCTTCTTAGGGTCACAGGGTATCTGAATTGTTGGATCAAATAGATCTGTTTTCTGACCCCCAAAATTGGGAATAAGTCCTCTTTGAGATAAATGGGGTTTATTTCTGAGTAAGCATTTGTAGCTTTACACTGCACATCAGTGAATGTATTAATCTGGGTGTTGGAGATGGGAGCAACCAACCTTCTCCATGAGCAAAGTCACCCCATTATCTGCATTATCCCAGATAATTATTTGGCCAAATTTATCACCCAAAGGAAAATGATATCTGATTGCACTTAATGTTAAATATCCTCATGGATTATGAGAAATGCAAATTGCCCAAAAAAGCTTTATTTTCCAGGAAATAGGCAGACAGGCAGACAGATAGGATAGCTGTGATTTCATTATAAGGTCACATCAAAGCTGCAAAAGAAACTGAGTTTGAATTTTTGGGTGGATGGCCTAAGCTCCCAAATGGTGAAAGCTGATCTCTTTGACTGAAGCCTATTGGCCCAACCCATTGCTGAGCATGGGGATCATTTTTACCTATCAGATAAATCAATCTGTTGCTCCCTTTTTAAAGCAAATTTAGACGGGTTCAATTGAAGAATGTGCTGAATCAAGGGAGAATGGTCTAGAGGCCTGTCATAAATGTGAATTGGCATTTTACTTTCAGTGTGGCTACTTCACATTTGTAAAAACTAAGAAAAGCAGCTTGGGCTTTTTGTAGAAATATCTTACTTTGGCTGCCCTCTCTGAAATAATGCAGGATTTGAGCTCTTCAATCTTCCTTTGTTTTTCCACTTCCCTCTACTATCCTTGGAGTGGGAAGGGTTACCAAAAACAGATCAACAGCACTGCAGTACAAATGGCTGGCTACATTAACTAGGAAATGTAACTAGGGAGAAAATGCTCTTATAAGTTATGACCATCCCCATCCCTCTGACATGTGGCATCTAAGGCCATAAGAGGCACCTGACAGGTTGCTGGAGAAGTTCTTTCCTGGTTTGGGCCTACCCTATCAACATAGGGGTGATTTCAGCCTGCCTTGAATGGAATTGGACTTGGTTTTTGAATTTGGTTTTGATCTTGGATGAGGAGCACATGCTATGAGCCTCACAGTGGCATTTGTGCACAGAGGAGTTTCAGTTTCAGGTCTGCCTCCAAACTTTTGAAGGTGGCCTTGGGAGTGCCCCCCAGTTCCCTACAGGCCACCAGGGCTTGCCACCAGTGGGCTTGGGGGTTGGGACCTGCACCATTCTGCTCATCTTGTAACAGAGCTCTCCTTGTTCCTATGCCCACAGATCTGACCTCTTTATTAACCACCAGCCGCCCAAGCGGGGTTCATATCCCCACCTTACAGCCTCCGTCCGGCCAGTTCTTCACGTCTCTAGAACCCATTAACGAGACTTCTGGGGTCCTGGGACACTTAAACACAACCCCAAGGAATTCCGTTCAGCACCAGTTTCAAGACACTTTTCCAGGTATAAAAACTCATCCTGGGCACGGATCAATCCCTCTCTGCCACTCTCAAAGTGAGAGTGAATCTGGTTACCTTCCAATTTTCCCATCATCCCTAGACAATGTGGCACTTTTCCTGGCCAGAATTTAGTCCTTTGGAAGGCACCCAAGTAAGGAAAGTAGATTAATTTTTTTCAAGGGTTGCTTTCTTACTCACTTTTTCTCTCGAACTAAGAATCATTGAAGTAAGCCTATGGAAGGTTTAGCACTTGCAATTAGGATTCCTCAGCACCGGATCCTAAGCTTCGTTATTTGTTTCAGCAGAGCTTACTTCCACGCAAACGGATCCTGGTTATGGATGGCCCCTTTGACACTCAACCTTAATCACAGATGTGAAAAAAGGAGCTAACGAAGGACTCTGTTTCTTTGTCCCTGACTTAATTGACACCCTCTCGGGGCTATTAATATGGAAGGCTCCGGTTTTTAACGTGGCTAAGAACTCTAGCAACATGTGGAAAGCCGAGGGTAAGGGCGCTGACTTTCAAGGAGAATCAGACCCGGGAACCCTTAGAGGGATGTTAAATAGACTAGCGACCCAGCAGCATAAGACGATCCAAAGAAAGAAGGAATTATAAGGGCGGGCTGCCGCGTTATTTCAGGCGCAGCAGCGGTAGCACAGGTTTTTTTTTTTTTTTTGCAACCACTGAAAGACAAGATTGGTGATCCTTGACTATAGGAACGGAGCTATTCTTAGCTGGCTTCTACTGGAGTTTCTTGGGAAGTTAGCCCCCCTTGGACGCGCTTTCCCTGCAAGCGGGGGCGGTGGGGATTCGACTGTTATCCGCTCATGATCAGCCCCTTAAACGCCTGTCTCTTCCTCTTCTTTTGTTCAACCCTCCAGGTCCGTATGCGGTGCTTACGAAAGACACGCTGCCTCAGACCTACAAACGGAAACGCTCGTGGTCCCGGGCGGTTTTTTCTAATCTCCAAAGAAAAGGATTGGAGAAACGCTTTGAAATCCAGAAATATGTCACCAAACCGGACAGAAAACAATTGGCCGCCATGTTAGGGCTCACAGATGCTCAAGTAAGCATTTTTTTTTTAAATTAAAAACTCCTTTTGATTAATTTATCTGTATCCCCATTGAGCATTTAGCTGTGATTCTGCTGGGACAGCTAGGTATTATAAATCCCATTCTTCCACAGACTGTTTTTTGTTGATGTTTAGATGCTATTTATTTAAAACAAAGGGAATCTGTCCCCTTAGCAAAAAAATAAAGCCCACATACCCCTATATTTAATAGGTAGCAAGTAGACTCACCCATTTCACCTTTCATGTGCAACACCCACACCATAAGTGTCTTTGGTATCCTGATTTCTTACCTACTGGGCAAACAAATGGTTCCAGAGGAGGAACTTATCCCACACAGTAGTTCTACAGTAATATCTTACTGATAGTATTTTCATTATTCCTCAGCTTATTCCAAATAATTTCCACACACAAGAACCTCACTGCCATAGCATTATTTCAATTAGGTGGACAGAACACATGAAGCAGGCATCAGGCCACATTTGTACAACACAAGTCATAAACATAAAAACAGACAAACAAATTTAATCAAATGTAGCAGGTTAATGGTGTTATGCAACTGCAGCCCCTAAGATTTTGCCTGATTTGGTTAAGATTCGTGGGTGAATTCAGTTAGCAATGCTTGAATTCAGGAAACTGGATATAAAATGGAGTTCTTATATACCTATTAATATCCTTCTTCGTATTTGTCCATATTCAGAGAAGGTAAAATGCTGCCTTCCAAATTTGTCATCAAACCCATCTGCACGCTCTTCCTGAACAGAGTGTATGTTTGCGCAACAGCTTAACCACACCAGTTACAAATCAAGCAACTATTAGCCAACATGTTAAACCTAATTTTAACCTTGATTAGATTCTGTGTGTCTGAAAATGTGTACATGATGGAATGTTGCATAACTTAACTACTTTATGGTTCAGTGTATTGAGGAACCAAAAATATAGATCAATTAAATGAGCTGTTAAACTGGGTAGATCTTGTTTGTAGCAGGTGGTTTAAGTGGACAGTGTTTTATGCCTGGGAGAAGCGCCTGCATGACATAAAAGAAGAACTCAATCGCCCCTCCTCCCCAACCTCTGGGTGCAACATAAGCAATTTGTTTCTACATGGCTTCCTCCTGAGTAAGACAATAACATGTCTAGTGGGACCATAAATTTGGACCAAGATTGATCTGTCATTACAGCCAAAGTGTTTATTTTGGCTGCTAGCGGGAAATGCCAGCAAGAAAGGACAACTGGTCAAGAGGAAACCAAAAATAGGGACAACTGCCATTGACTCCAGCCTAATCCTATGGAACTGAGTCCACAGTTCAATCTTGAGCTTCATATATTCTCTCCTATTGAGATGGTGGGAGAAATGTTTCTCCCCCCCCCTCCAGCATACTAAGTTTGATTTTCCATCACAGTGGGTAAGAAGGTTTCCTTGTTTTCTTCACATTCATTCACAAATGTCCTTTCTGAGTGAGTGTGGGCTAAATTTTATAAGCTGGGAAGTCTGTCTTTTGAGACAGGAAAGAAAAGTTCCAGGCACTTTCTCTAATGCGAAATAACTAATAACTAATAAATAACTAATGCGAAAACTGTAGGAAAATACCAATACTATTCTCCTGGCAGCCTTCTGGATTCAAAGGAAGTTCCTTGTTCAGCAAATAGAAGGTGATAAGTCTTATTAGACAAGCCTTGATTTATCATCCAGATTCTATCCTATCACAGATATGGGAAACCTGTGAACATGTAGAAATGGCTGTGGATATTGGAGGTTCCTATAAAGAAAAAGTGAGAGAGGTGTGGAAAACGTTCTTGACACTAGAATAATATTTAATGAAATAACATATAATTATAGAAAATGTTCTATAGTTTTTACTTATTTTAGTATCTTTTCTTTGGACACACAAACATATTGTATCTATTTGTAAAAAAAAACTATGTCTGGGAAAGCAGGCTTACCCTTTTTATTTTCCTGAGCTCATTTGAATTGTTTAATTGTGCAATACTACAAATGGTTTCTGAGAATATCTATTTACCATTTCTCCATGGTAAATAGATATTGCCTTAACCTATTTCTTTGAAAACCAAGTTGACAACTTTAACCTGATCTCTCCATTTGTTTTGGAATCAGTGTTAATATTAGTTACCAAGCTACATATGCCCATGTACCATCAAGATGGCCTCTCTTAGAATCATTATCAATGACAACTTTTTGTATTAACAAACAAATAAAAAATGTAATGATCGAAGCGACTGGACAATTATAAAGGCAGATTCATAACCAATATCAATGTTATTTTAAATATTTAAATATCTTTTAATAAGTTTTTTTTAAAAAAACCTACATTTTTTAAAAACGTAGATATAAATGGGATAAGTTGTTATTGGCATAATATATCCCCACCCCTCCAGCATACATATACTTGATCCTCCTGTTGAAAGTGAAAGGAACTCCAGCCGCTGGAGTAAAATCAGGCTGAGGCACCTTCCTTGCAAGTTTCCAGCATTAAAAAGGCTGGACTATTTGATTAACATTCCAGCCTCAATCACCTATAGACCACCCAGATCTTAACAAGAAAAAAATGGAATGAAAGAACTAAGAAATGAAAGGGGACTTTGTAATTTTAAGTCTATAATGTAGAGGGACAAATTAAATGCAGAGTTGTACAAATTAAAGAATTTATGTAATTTTGCTGTACAGTACTAAATATGGTAGAGAAGCAGCCAGAGAGCAGGGGAAGACCTGATTCTTCTAAGCTTTTAGCAAGTCAATTTTGTTTGGAAGTGAAAATCTAAACCAGTGACTTTGCCTGTGAATATTTCTGCATGAAGAGGCTGGGCTCATTTTTAGAAACAGCAGGATTAAGAATTTGCGAAGTATTTATGATGGCAAGAGAAAACCTGGGAGTTCAGCAATTTCACTCCCCCCCCCATACGTGATTTTTAAAAGAAAATCCAAGGCATTTTCCTTTTCCTCTCTTCTGCCTTTTTTGTCCATTAATATCACTGACCTTGATAATGCCAGTGGAAGGAAGCCAAAGTAATAAGTTAGCACTTCAAATTCAGCTTTACCCAATCCCCTTTATTATCTTGCATGAAAAAGGGGAGCATGTACCCACCTTTAAATCCTGAGACAAATTTTGGAACCCACCTCCTTCTGTGAACAATTGTGTGGCTAGTGTTTTAAGAGGACCCAGCAAAGCGAGCCCATCCTCCAGATTTTGTCTGGAAGTAAAGGGGCAGAGGAATGGGTGACACTCTGCTCAGATAGCATAAACACTTGGAGCCATTGTTGTTGTGGTGCTTTCAGCTAGTCTTGACTTCTGGTAGCTATCTGGACACATCTTTTTTAGGGTTTTTTGGCAAGACTGTGGGAAGTGATTTGCCATTGTCTCTTTCCTAGACAGAGAGAGGGACTGTCTCAAGATCACCCAGCTCTCTTTGTTCTAGCCTGGTGCCTTAACCACTAGTCAAACTTACTGAACCCTAAGGTTAGACTCCCAAAATACCCAGACAATTGTGAATTGCTTCTCTCCCTACCAAAAACATCAACAGCGGTCTCCTCCTCCTCCCACTCCCAAACAGCACCCTCCATCCTTGAAGTGATGTAAGGCCTGTGCTCAAAACACTCTTACGTGGGCCCAACAATGGTTGGATGACTAATGAGAAAACGGCCCTAAATTTTCATTTTAAAAATGAGAATTAACCTCACAAAGACATGATCCTTCCAAATTACTGTATTATTTCTGTATCCACGAGGACTAGAACATTCCAGTCTACTTTATTTTTAAATTATCAAAGACCAGGAAGAGGAGCTATTACAAAATGGAGCAAGTGCCAGTCTAGTCCTAGCTAATTTTGAGCCCCTCCTCTCTTCTGAATTTGTCCCCCCCCCATCCCTTTGTTTGTGCTCTCCACCCATACATCCTTTTGTTATCATGTTGATGTATTTATTCTTGTGTTCCTTTATCATACTTTAGCGTTCTATTGTTTTACTTCTGTTTACACGGCTTTCATTTTTCTTCCTTTTGATTATTGTAAGCCGCCTAGAGTAGCCTCGCGGCGAAATAGGCGGTAAATAAATTGAACAAAGAATAAATACATCAATAAATTTGCCTGCAGGTGAAAGTGTGGTTCCAGAACCGGCGCATGAAGTGGCGACACTCCAAAGAGGCGCAGGCGCAGAAAGACAAAGAGAAGGAGCCGGCGGAGAAGGTGGCTGCAGCCGGAGCGGGTCTGGGGCCCGGGCCAGCAGGCGAAGGTGAGCTTGAGCGCAGCCCGAGCCGCTCGGAAGGCGACAGTGACAGCAGTGAGGCAGAATCCCTGGATCTGGAGCTCGGCAGCGACGCGGAACGGACTGAGCCGGGAGCTGCCCCTGATCAGGCCGTGCAGCGGCACATCTCGGAGCTGCACCCACCCGCCGGTTTGGAGACCGCTGCTCACTCCGAGCCGCCACCGCCGCCTCCCCCTCTCCCAGGCCTGGAGCAAGGCCGAGAGCCTTTGCGGTGCCCCGAGTCTTCGTTTTGCCTCCGGGACTCTCCGTGATGACCTCCCTTCAGCCAAGCTCCGAGGGGTCAGCCTGACAGAGGCCTCTGGATGCGGAATATACTAACTCCTAGTGTGGGCAGAGCGCTCCAGAATGGGTTCCGGGGAATTGACTTTGGACGGCGGGTGGAGCCGGGCTGCCTCTAGAATCAGGGCCGTCTCTGTATGAGGGTGCGGGCCCCCCAAAAGATATGGGGCAGCCCAGAGATGACCCTGCAGGCTCCAGACAGCGCACCCTGAACGGATCCACTCAGGTAGGCCGGGACGGAATTCGAGGAGCTTAGCAAAGGCCAAGGAAAAAGTCGAGCTTTGCAGCCCTGGAGCCTCCTCTGGCTCCCTCGCCCGTTTGCGGCAAGTAGTAGCCCTGCCCGTGGCAAATGGTTGCTTGAAAAACGAGGTTTGGAGAACCAACAGACTTGGATGAAGATGGAGAAAAGTAGATTGTAAATAAAGAGTTTCCTACATTTAACGGGTATTTTTGTTCATGGCAAAAGTAGTCTGGTTGCCTTAATGGTCTGGCAGCTGAGTTGCTGATTCCACCCTAGCATCCATTCCTCTTCTCCCTAAATCTCCCAAATTCTGTGTCTCCCATAGGATGGTATGTAACAAGTACTTTGAAGAAAGGGCAGGCAAAGTTTGTTCCAAACTTTTTTCTGAAGTAAGAAATCCAAAGTTGTAGTATAGGAAAGCAACCCTTTGAGGGATTTTAAATTTCCCTATTTATTAAAAGGCAAGGGATCTCATATTGGGCTCTGCATTTAATTTCTTTAGTTAAAATGAATGGCTTGAAAATAAGCAGACGGCACTTAAAAACAATCCACGAAATAAAATTTGGAGGTGAATCCTTCAATCTGCCCTAAAGGTAGAATACCAACACATAGAGGAAAACGCAGATTAATTTAATGGAGGTGAACATGTAGCTATGATTTCCAAGCAACTTAATACCTCTATAGCTGTGTCCCTTGCATGTTCATTTTAACAGTCTGCTTTTGGAGGGAACAGTCTGGTATCCAAGGTATCTCCATGAAATTTATTTCTAAATGCATAGGGTTGGGCTCCACCTACTTTGATATACTTTGGAAAGAACATCTACATAATTATATTATTTGGTTAAAGATTCAGGCATGTTCATGTTTATTACTTAAAAATGCTTTGAGTAGGAGAAAAGTTATTTTCAAAATAGTCATAGCCAAAAAAAAAAGGCAGTTTCCCTCCATAAGTAATTTATGCTCTCCATTGCTGGGTTCTTCAGGAAAGTCAGTCTGAAACTTAAAATTAAGATAGAAATGCAATTCCAATCCCAATTATTTGAAATTTAGTTGGTAATAAAGCACATTAGCATAAAGTTCCTTCCTCTCCCAAGCATTTTGCTCCTTCTGCACATTTAACTGAAAAGGAAAGAAACAGCATTACAAACAATGAAATTGTGTATTTAGGAAGCAATTGGATCTGGGGAGTATTATACGACAAAATTGATTATTTACTTTTTAATTCATCCTCCACTATTTCATTAACAGCATCCAATTTAATGATAGGCAACTGAATTTGAGAAGAATGTTAAGTTTTGTTACATCTTAAAAATTAATAGATTTATTACAGATTGAGCTCTCATCTAACTATAAAAAAACTAATGCTGGGACAACAATAACAGTAAACATCAGGGTAAATAGAAATAAAAAGTGCCAGAAAGTAAAGGTAGTTTTAATTCTTTCTTTGGCAGTAGTAATTGCTAGGTGGTTACATAGACATTTTTGCACTGATGAAGATAATATTTAGCTGTGTTCAAGCCTCAGGAAACTGAGTTAATCTTTGTAATAAAGCTCAGCCTTCCATGTTAAAATGGGATAAAATGAAGGGATGGATATATGTACAAAAAAGGATATTTTTATAATAAAAGGGAAGGTACACACTGATATAGTTACCTATGATATACTCACAATCTATATATAATTGCTATGCTGATTTTATTTCCACTTTTACCAATAGTTCTAACAGATGTAGGAACCAGACTGAATATTATGAAAGATGATTTATGAATGGTTTTTGCAAGTCACTGGAAATAAGATCTCTCCACTGGAAATTTTTTCAGACTCCAAGATTTACACACACACACACACACACACACACACACACACACACACACACACTGTAGCCTGACCCCCTCTGGGGAGGTGTGCAGGGGCTTCTAAAGGTATTGGCAGAAGGCAACCTCCTGGCTTAGAGATTTTGCACCCATGCTATAGAGCAAAAACTGAAATCAGGGATCCCAGGAACCCTGGGATCTGTAGACTAAGAACAATTAAAGCCCAGAGGACGAAATCTGGAATTCCAACCTTTTTCTTTTAAACCAAAACCCTTTTCCTATCATTCTTGCAAGAATTATATTGCAGTACTGCAATTTATCTAAATTTGTCTTGGATCATAATGTTCTTTTGAAATCCCAGCTGTGCTACTTAGACAGCCCAAATGACTCATGCCATTTATAGAACCAAATCACAATATAGTGATTTTATTGATGGATTCCTCTCATTGAACTTTCTACTGATCACAGCTCACCTTATGGTGTTTCTGATAACAAATTTAAAGAAAGGAAATGATTTCTGAAACAATCATTCCCAGCCTGCATAGTTGCTGAAACATGGAAGCAGTTCCCATATTAAATGTAATTTCAGTGTTATTAAGACAAATTCTGGCACCTCTCTTATTAGTTGGGATTGATGGCAACAGAAGGCAACAAAGATTGTGGTCTTATACCATGTTCTACCACATTTGCTTCTGCATAAACATGTTGATAGGTTTCTGTGATTGGGTTTCAATCCTATACCCATATTTGCTCAGAGTAAAAGCCCTTTAATGGGATTTATTTCTGTTATTGATTTATGGCTGAATTCCTACACAAAGCTTAACTCTGATCCCAAAGCAATGAAACACAATTACTATACCAGGTAATGTTCTTTGGCCAACAGAATAAGCTATATTATGATTTAATATGATGTACAACAGCCTTAACAATATGCTAAAACTATTCACATCTCAGTTTAATCCAATGTCTGGTGCTGGGGGAATCAGCCAAAGTGGTATATGTATGCAAAAGTACTAATTTTCAAGAGGTATGGAATTTTTTCTTTTTGTTTCTGAATGATGACATTTCAGTCTGTGAGGACATCCCAGTGGCAGTTATCAAGATAATGGAGTTGTCTTTCTATAACATCTGGAGGCATTGGGCTTTTTTTGTTTTATTAGCCCCTTCACTCATTGGATTGGGATCACACCATAGCATTTTCATGGAGATTCAATTTTTAATCTGTGTGTTTAAAATCAGGATATCTATAGTTACAGGATCAGTTTATGCACATGGAGTTAGTGGGAAGCTGGAATCACACTCCCTAGGACTCCTTTTCTGTGCCTGCCTTTATGTAGCCCACTTAACTTATGACTGAGTCAATCCATTTTTTTTGAGTTTGAATTAAGCCCCAGCCCTACTCCAAATGAATGCTGAAACATTAGGTTTCACATAAGGACCCCTTTTGTTCTGCAGAAGTCTTCCTTTGAAAAAAGCTGACCCTCACTACTCTACAAGTCTACCCTCCCAGGCTACCCTCCCAGGCTAAAGTACCAAGACTGCATCTCAGGGCTCCTCATATGTAGAGAGGTTTCTCTGAAGCTTTGGAGTCTTCCTGCAAGATATCTAGCCTGAGTTCTCATTTTACTGAAGTATGTTCCTCTGGCTTGCCATACAGCATGGTGTTCCATGTTCAGATTGGAAGGGTCATGATTTAAATGAGATTTGTAAGTTAAGAACCCAAATAAAAGTAATTGGAAGTCAAGTATATTTCCTCCTGGTGCTTACAAGTTGGGCTTCACTGAGGCCTAAACCCCTTTTTGGAAACATAAATCTCACAAAAAATGGTCCCTAGCTTCTAATTCAGGATTATTTCCATTTAAGGAAGAACAGAAATCAGTAGGGATTTATCTTCAGGTAACATGTCCATTTGAAAGGTTGTCAGCTTGAAAGTAAAAAAAAAAAAAAATGCAGGTTAAATACAGTTGCAAATATATGCATCTTTGGTTGCTATCCTAGCCTCCTGGAAGAGAAGATTGAAATAAGTAGCCTGAAAGAAGTCTTATTGGGTTTAATAAACCTAAATAAAGGGCATATTTAAATGAGAATTTGTTACAGGAAAAAAAAATTACATTTAGGACTAGGTGCCAGCCATTCAGGAATGTCTACTTTGTGGACCTGTTTGAAGATATTCCATTATCTTTTCCTATCCCATAAGAGAGCAGCCTTAAATTTAATGCAGTTTTTCTACCCAGGCAAATACTACAGACAGGAGTTATATTGTAAAATCCACTGGGTCCTAGCATAGACATGGCCTAACTACCCCAGTATTTTTTAAAAATATTACTGCATTTCAGCTCAAGAGGTAAACTACAAGGTGATGAGCTGGACTTACTCCCTGGCGTATAAGAATTTCAGCATAAGTTTTTCATTTGGGTTGGAGTCAATACACCTCTTAGGCTTATTGATGTCAACCATTGAAAATATGTTATGAGGACTTCTCTCTGTAAGGGAGGAGCTGAATGGATCCCTAGTCCTTAGCCTGAGCGGATTCATTTGATATCTAACAAAATGCTATTCAAAAGGTTTTTAGTCAGGCTAGAGTAATAGCTCCATAGGGAGTATAGTTTTAACAGACATACAATAAAAATTTAAGCATGTTACTTGGCAAATGTTAAATTCAAGATAATGCCTTGGATGGAAATCCAAATTAAACGTGCTTACTACAGGGAGTCTCATTATTCATAGGGCAACATTACTTTCCATAACATTGTTTAAGATTAGGACGGAAGTTTATGTTTTCCTATCATATCCCATTATCTCCATCTGGTTTAAATCAGTTTGGAGCCAGGTAAGTATGTTTGTATAATCCCATTAGAACCAATGGGACATCTACATATGATGTGTGTTAGTGTCTAAGGTGCAGCCATTAAATGCAAGAGCTTTTGGTGTGTTTCTTCTGCTAGAAAAAGATGGGAGGAATTCAGCAGAGAGTTATTTGTTCCACTGGCAGCAAATCCTTTAAAGAAAAAAAATACCAGAATGTCCTAAAACTTGCTAATTCTGATAACTAATAATCATTCAAGAACCAGGCAATGAATTGAAGTATATAGTTAGCTTACTGCATTTTTATTGTAGGTTATTAAAAGCTATAACTCTACCTTATTTGATTTTTTAAATAAATTCACTTGTCAATCTTCAAGGTACACCTGGGCTATTCTACCATGGAAAACCAGAAGACGATGGATTGTTTTCTATGGGAGAAACTGCAACTTCAGGATTAGAACTCTTTAAAACATCAACGGGGACCATATGATGCCAATTTACTAAAAATAATTTTTTCTGGAGTAGGTTGTAAAAGCTATTCCAAGATAAAGGCATAAGGCTGCTCTAGAAGTGTGT